TCTCTCTCTCTCTCTCTCTCTCTCTCTCTCTCTCTCTCTCTCTCTCTGTTGTTCCTCAAGAACATGTTGGTCAGACTTGCCCACCTGTGATTAGGAGGCAAAGACAAGAACATAGTGAAGATGTGGTATCAGCAGTGTGATGCTGACAGGCCAGATAAACACTCCGCAATGTGGCAGTCCCAAAGGAATGCAGTCTGTCACACACTCAGGACGCATACATCTCTGAGACTTTGGACAGACGAATAAAATAGACAAATCTCTGCCCATTCAACCAAAGGGCAAAAGAGGGATATTAAGTTCAGTCTGATTTATTTTTCTTAATTCAGGTTATCACAAGTCATATTATAGAAACAATAAAAATAAATCATTGTTTCCATAGACTAAAAACCAAAAACCATTTTTTTTCAAAAGAATAATAATGACAGCTCTGGTCTCATAGAAGATTCCAGTATATTAACAGAGCTGTAGGGATTAGACTAGAATGGTGCCTGCTCAGGAATGGGCAGATAAACGGGATGAAAGGGATCACAAGGTGTGGACCTGCATATGAGAATGAAATATGAATGTGATAAAGACGACATTTAAGTCAATGAGGGAAAGGGAGAATTAATAAATCAACCTGATGGCTCGCTGTGAATAAAAACATAAAGCTTTATCCTCACCTCAGACCTTATTGGAGAATAAATTCTAGATGAATTAAAACTACTGAAGTGTATGGGAGAACTTATGGGCAAACATTTGATGTGAAAATTTTTCAAAGTATGATTATAAGTAACATAAAATCAGATATGATTCCATAAATATTAAAATTTTGGCTTGAGAATTCAAAAGAGCCCATATATAAATTTTTAAAATAGATAATTTAGATGCATATGTCAATATAAACTAATTTTACCCTGGGGCTCAGTAGGCCTGTGACGTCTTCCTCTACAGAAACATATCAGAGGTTATATAGAGCCTATACTCCTGTGGTAGAAAGATCTGGATGGCGAGTGTTCAGTTGATGCCCTTCTTTTAGATGATGTTCTTATTCTTTGTTTTTGACATAATACAGTTCTTCATCTTATAATAAGCAAAATTAATATAGCTATCAAAATTACTTACTGGTCTGATTTCTGGGTATTTCCTAGAAATTCTTACTTAAAAATATTAGTTTTTGTGTTGGAGGGATGGCTCAGTGGTTAAGAGCACTGGCTGCTCTTCCAGAGGTCCTGAGTTCAATTCCCAGCAACCACATGGTGGCTCAGAACCATCTGCAATGGGATCTGATGCCCTTTCTGTATATGTAAGTAGAGCACTCATATACATAAAATAAATAAATCTTTAAAAAAATATTAGTTAATAAGTAAAGATGAGCATCTCATAAAACACAGCATCTCAGGGTTTCCTATCACAGGGCACAGCATCTTAACACGCTGTACACGGATCATTTGTCTCACTAGTGAATTTGCTGCTCACAGTTGCCATGTAACGTCGTGGTGTGACTGTGGACTCCTAAACATCTCAGTGAGCAAGAATACTCAGCAAATATTCACATGCCCAGACCACTGCCTTATTTTCTACTTATTGGTTTTGACAGGAGACCAGTGGCTCTGTCTAAATAATTCATATCTCAGTGCATGGCAATAAGCATTCATAAACCATTGGCTATGTGGATACATGTGAGTACAGATATGAGAAGTATACAAAGAACATCAAAATTGCATCTTAATAGATATGAAGTCCAGTTTTAATGCTTTTCTATTTGTCTGAGCGTACAGAATATTTTCTTTTTCCAAGAGCGTCTAAGATTATAAATTAGTGAAATAAATGTCAGTTACTGACATCTTTCCTAATATTTTCTACTTTAAAGAACTTACAATAATCATTTTGACATGACTCCAAATAGTCGAAATCTTCTGTAGCCAATGAAAATGTACTGAGAGTAAGAGATAACAGTAGTGATGGCAATTGTCACCCGTCTAGACAAATCACCTAAAAGGGACCATACAATTTAAAGAAAACACTTTCCCTGGAAGAGCTTTGTCCATGGAAACAGACAGCCCTGGGTTTCATTAGCACCCCCCCTTAACAGACAGTATAGACCTGAGCAAGTTACTTGCCACTGCGAGTTTGTTTCCAGACTGTGAGATGGGGAGAGGAATCTATCTTGTGATGGTTATTGAGAGCTTACATTTAGAGTCACAGGCGTGAACTAGGTACCTAAAAGGAAACTGTGGGCATTACTGATTGGAGGATGTGGAGGCTCCTGTGATGTGGGAGGAAGCTAGCAGTTCTCCTCTGAGAAGCTCACACAGGAAGGAATTCAACCTAAGTGCATTTTCCTCCGCTGAGGGGGTGACCATCAACCTGGAAACTGACTGATGGTAGGAAAGACGACTCACTACTCAGCTGAGTCAACAGTCAGTTCATTTAAAGTGAAACTCATTCCCTTCTGGTCACTGAAGTAATCTTATTCCCCAGTCAGGAACCCCCTTCCTTCTATGGAAACCAGACAGTTACTTAGGAAGGCTGGACTCAGAACAAAGAGAGATGGAATCATAGCTGTTTTATGTGGGTACAGTGAGGCCTCTCCTTGTCTTATCGACATTCCCACTTTCCCAGTGTTTAGAAACGGGGTACTCCTCTGGGTGGTACCTTATGCACACTGCCATGTTTGGAGCTTTGGGTCTTTCCTTTTAATTTTCAAGGCTAGCTATCCATCCTTATTCTGTCTACATAAGCCTTCCTCCAAGAGAGGAAAAGACAGTCAATGCATTGCACTCTGTTTACTGAACTAACAAACACCTTCAGCCCTGCCCATCCCCAAGTTGCAAGATTACCATGATGCAAGTGTTGTGTGTACCTCTGATAGGCAGTCTCAGAAACACCTGATGCTCGGGTTGTCAAGTCCCTTGTGTTTCCTGAGTGTTTCCTCACATAAAATGAAGTCGATTTCTCTATTGTTTCTTTAAACTGGATGGATGGATGGATGGATGGATGGATGGATGGATGGATGGATAGACAAGGAATGTATAGATGGAATATATACAGAATAGTGTACAGCCATGCTGCTCAGCAGCAGTGAATAAGTCCTTGGCATCTTATCTGGCACTCAGTGATGACAGATACAAGATGAGCATGGTCTCTGAAATGTTTACTCTGTGACTTTGAATGTAAAGAACGCAAAGGTAGCACACTAGGCTGAGCCGGGGGAGGAGAGAGGCTGTCTGCCAAAGCACCCACTCTTATCAGAAAGTTCTCCTTTTAGCCCATAAGTAACTGAGTTCTTAGTATATATCTTTCTACTACAGGGGGTGAGTTGCCTGCACTCTGGGCCAGAGACCCTGCTCTCTCCAGACTGGCCTTGTGCAAGCCTGTTAGCATTTGTAAGCCCCACTTCCATAGATAGAAAATCCTAATTTTAGCCCCATCCTGCCTGGGCACTGTTGTCAGGAGACAGTGACAGCATTTGAATACAGTGCAGGCTGTTCCAAAGACAGGTCTGGAGATGGAGTGAAGAGACAGACAGAAATGGCCAATTGACACCCTGCTGCTTTTCTTCCTCTCTCTCACACACACAGGTCTCTGGTTAGTGTGCACAGTGAACTCACAAGAATGCCGAACAGATATAGGTCAGGCTGCTCTTTGAAATCATGGGCCAGCTTGCTCACTTGGAGGACTCATTTAACACAACCTGGTTTTCCAGAGAACATGCAAGAATAAAGAATCCACTCCATCTCAAAGAGTCCGGATAATGCACACACAGCAGTACCCCATCAGCCTGTCAGCAGCCCCCTCCCAACCAGTCCCTGAGAAAAGCTATTCTCCACACACAAGATCATGGCAACTTGAGGCCAGCAGGAGGGTTTCCTTTTTTAAAAGCCCAGGAATAGTCAAACAGGCGGGCAACAACTCTCAGCTGGTCCTTGAACATGGCCACATTATTATCTGAACATGCGGAAAGCAACACTCAGTCACTGTTGGGGCATCTGTGACAGTGACAGAGCTGCTCGTCTACAGCAATCAATTACAGTGTTTAAGCACATTATGTATAAAAGAGGAAAAAGTCACAATGCTCCTCTCCCCCTCCCTGCTTGCCTCTCTTTTTAATAAGATATAGTAGACATTGAACCAAGTCAAATCCTTTAAAAACCAAGTTTGGCCAATAACTTGTTCTAACAGAACATCTCTAATATTGTGAAGTCAAAATAAAATAAAAGAACAATCTGAAACATGCACTATCGTTCTTTTATTAGATCACACTGCCTCATCACCCTCCCCCACGCCCTTAAAAAGAAAGATTCTTTTTGCACTTTCAAAAAGTCCATTATGCTAAGTACAGCTTTTGGAGCCTCCGAACAGAATACACGAGAGAAACAACTCGGACCATGTGGAGTATTCATATCCAGCTTCTCTGTGTATCTACCATGTTGCACGGGAGCAGTGTAATCTCATGCTTGTAGAAAGCAGAATGCTGTTAACGGTGCCTGAATTTGAGAAAATATCACAAGGAAAGGCAAGAGACCCTCTCCTGGCTGTGTGGGGGAAAAAGGCTGGTTCGGGCAGCACTGCGCCTCCACGGCAGGGCAGGCTCTGCACGGCTCTGAGAAGTGTGATCTGCGGGGCTGATAACACGCAGGTTCCTGGAATCAGCTGCTTACCTTAGAATGCTGGAGCAGCAGGACCTGCTCGTCAAGCTGCCGTCTCTTCCCTTCTATTTCCGTCTGCCTCTTTCTTTTTTCCTTGAAAATGAAGAAAGAGAGAGAAAGAGAAAGAGAGGCTGTCAGAGTGGGTGGGTGTTGGCTCCAGGAATCTGAAGGCAGGGAGCGGGAGTGGAAATGGTACACATCTGTGCAGACACTTCCAGAGAGGCTGAGCGCACGCACACAGCGTCACCTGCTCCACCGTGGCTGGCTGGATTGCAGGCAGCAGCCTTCTCTGAATGCGTCTGCGGTGGGCTCCGTGAGAAACAATTTAATTCAGAAGGAAAGGATGGACACACACACACACACACACACACACACACACACACCCCGCTGCTGCTCTCTGTGTTGTGCAGGGCTAATTTGAAGACAAAGAATAAAAACGTCCCAGTGTTGCTACAAACTGCAGATAGGATGGTGGGGATTCTAAAGCTGAATTCTTCTCATCCAGATCACATGCAGATATGATATAGTACAATTTTAAATGTGGAAGAATAAAGCATCCAAAAGGACACATGCAAATGAGAGGGGTGGTCCTTGCTTAAAAATAAGCCTCCTAGTAAAGTGTCTCATGTGGGCGGGGCTTGCTGAGGTTAGGGTAAATAAAACATCTAGGATCTGCCTGGGTCCAAGTGCCAGCCCTGTCTGTTACTTATGTGCCTTTTAAGTAAGTTTTAAGCTCCCTGGGTCTCCTGAATGGAGACTGTCCAAATCACAGGGCCGAAATGTGACTTATAAGTGAAACGATCCATCCCGAAAGCCTGAAACAATGGTTGGCATACAGCAAGCATTCATCCTCCACTGTCTGCGATTATTTGCTGTGCCACACATCCATTTCTAGGAAATGCCTAGAAACCCATTTGAAAAGGATGTATTTCTACTATAACCGTTCCATCGGAGCGCACACTTCACATTTTTTTCTCAATACTTCTCCAGTGCAGACAATAAACAGCACGGAAGTGTGACTCATACCAAGAGAGAGGCCTGCCCTTACCAGAGCAGACTTGCCAATGTTTGGTTGCTGAAGTATACAGGAGTGTTTTACTGAGACATGCTCAGCAGTAAATCATTTTCCATTACTCATGGACATAGGGAGAAACTTGTTAGGCAGGACATATTGGCAATTCATAGCACAACAGTCAAATCCCGGGGGACACAATGGCGCTGAGATCTGGCTACTATGTTTGGAGTTAATGGAAGCTTTAATTTTTTTTTTTTATGTAGTGTCATGTTTCTGGGGATGTGATAATATCATGGCTGTTCAAATCAATGTAATATATGCAATATATAAACTTTAAGAATTATCAGCTCATAGTCTTGAGCCACTAGAATGCAGTATCTAAGGAGGGATGGAATTTCTTAGCCAAATCAGACTTGTGGGTGTTTTAGAAACCATTTTCCAAAGGACTCCAGTCAATATCATATAGCCAAATGCTACAGAATACCAGACTATGGCCGAAAAGCATCACATTTCTGACAGTAGATATGGAAAGCAGAGCTTACTAAAAAGAGACCATCCCCTAGCTTCTCAGAGCTTCACCAGAAGGTAAGGACTTCCGTCCAGGCTCCGGAAAGTCTAAGGAATAAATTTATTATTAGAATTATTATCATTGACTATCAAGACATGCAGATTTCTTGCACTTACAACCATGGCAAGATACAGTGTGCTATCTATACAAGATATCCATGATTCAATGCATGTTCTATATGTCCAGTCCTTTCCAAAACTTTCCTACGTGTTCCTTCTCCTGTGCTTTTATTGGTATGGAAAATTCTCACTCCCAAGATGTCCTTGTGTTCACAAACCATTCCTTAAACAGGAGACTCATTACCCATTAAACTGATAAGCAGGATTAGCCATCACAATATGCGCTCCACCTTTGTTCAGAACCAGGTGTGAGTGAGTCAAGAGGAGCTTGAGCAGGGTACCATTGCGGGACACATCTAGGTTCCTGACACCGGCTTACTTGGACTGCTGAGGACTCAGCTCTGTCTCTCCCATGACTAGCCTTTGTGTGCAGATTTCTTCTTCCCCAAACAGAAAGCAAACCGAGAACTCTTGAGATCTTCAGTCTTGTCAACCCCGTAATCCCTTAACCCTGCTGTTCCTCTGAGCACCACACTCCCATGTTGAGCATCCTACAACAGCCATGGATGGCAAGTCCAGTGTTCTGTTGCCTTGAGCATATGCAACTGAAATCTCACTCACCCATTCTCTTCATACCTGGTCCTCTGAACTCATCTCAGCAAGCGACATTAATCCCCTCAGAATCATTCTATACTCTCATTGAATGATAAGAGTCCTGTTGATCATGCCCCCTGTTTTTGTGTGTTTTTATTAATGCCACCAATGTAGACATTACCCACTAGGACCTTTGGCACACCAGAGACCCAATGCTTACACTTCAGCCTCATCTGGATTGCTGTAGTGATTTCCTTACTGGTCCCCATTAATCAAGTCCCCTTCTATAACCGTTACCAGTGGGAGACTCTCTCTTCTTTCATTTTGAGACAAGGTCTCACTGCGTAGCCCAGGGTGCCCTTGAACTCATCATTCTTCTGCCTCAGCCTCCTGAGTGCTGAGATCACTGGCATGTGTCTCCATACAAGGATGCAGTAATATTCTACTATGAAAAGTCCATCCTTAGCCTTTGCTAAGTGCTGCTAGTGTAAAGACCAGATTCCTCGGCATAGCCTAAAAGGCTATTCTCCATCCCATAGCTTCACCATGAGGAGTAACCCTCAATCCATAGTCTTCCACCTCAACAACTCCCTGCAGTTTCCTGACCCGTTGACCTGGTGTGTGTCTTCCTGGTTTTCCTCCTATTGCTTTCTCTAGCAATAATGGAGGCCTCTCGCTACTTCATTTGACACAAACTCTTTACCTTTGAAAGCACACCTTAAATATTCACGAGGCTGTAATGACTGCCTGTTGTTGGCTTTATCTTCCTGGTCGAGCATCCTCTGAGGAATGCCGCTAAAATGGCTCTGTAAAAGGCAGCTGTTGCAAGCCCCTGTTCATCCTTCCAGCCAGCCTTACACAGGAGTCAGCCTGAACCAATCACCTTTATCCTGTTGCAGTGCTGACTGATGTGAGGGGTGGCAGAGTGACCCAAATAGAATGTCCATGTTTCCAAGGACACAGAGCAATAGGAAAAGAAATGAACCCCTCCTTTCCATTAGAGTCCCAAGATGAAACTTGTCTGCTTGTCTGAGTGGCTGTTTTCCCAAGCCACGTGGAAGTAATGCATATACATATTCACATACATAAACACATATACATATACATACTATAGAAAGTGAGGTCAATGCAGACAGTAGCAGGATGAGAAACAGAGAACAAGATGGTCCCAGGTCTACTCAGGCATAATGCCAGAGCCCCATCCTTGGAGTTCCTAAACTATCAATAATGAAACATCTACCTGTTGCTTAAGCTAGTTTGGGTGACTCATTTGTCAGAACTTAAAGTGTGCCATTGATCCAGAAATCTTGTCTGCTCTCTCCTGAAACCTCACCACACCCCTCCTTTCTTTTCCTCCTCCATAGGTGGTGAAGGGTTTTCCTTACAGACAAAGTCTTTTTATATAACCCAGGTTAGCTTTGAACTTGCCATTATTACAGCTTTGGGGATGTGGGTCTTTCTCCATTAATACTTCATATACTTTAATCATTTACCTATGTTGACATTGTCACCTTCTGTTAAACTATGGGCTGTTGAACTAGAGGGCAGGGACATTGGCTGATATGTCTAAAGCTAAGGACACTTCATGATGAACATATGTGACGGACACCTGTTGATTAGCTCTAAATGAACAGACTGGCCTCTTTGCTTTCCTCTGCATGAGAGATAAATGGGTTTCCATTTATCTGCATCTCTCACTTAGATGCATTATAAATTCACATTTGTGATCAATGACAACATATGCATTATTGAATACACATCAGCTATTAGCCAATAGAATGGAATGTCATGGTGATGGAGGTATTGATCCACGTGGATCGCTATTGCTGTGCATATGAAAAAAGGGTTAAATAAGCTAATCTGGGATAGAACCAGGGAAAGCAGAAGTAGGAATTGCAGGGAGGAGTTTGACTGCATGGTAACAACCGCTGTGAGGGCCAGTGTTTCCCAAGAGACATCTGGAATGAAGCAAACTCCATCCATTAGGAAGGTTTCCAGGTGCCCCCACTATCTGGGAGACCCCACAAGCCACGCTCATTGTCTTTCTGTAAAGAATATGCTTTCCTAGCAGGTATTTTCTTCAAGTATTGCGACCTTATAAACACACTGCAGAGCCTTACTGAGTGTGGTGGGAAGAGGTAGTGGAGGGAGTTAGGGAAGCCTCTCTCTGCTTTGGGGCAACTTAACAATGCCCCTTTCACTCCTGCGGCATGAAATGCTGTCTGGGTATTAGGAAGGACAAGGTTGCAGCTGGAAGCTCGGGAAGGTCTGTTTACTACTTCACTTAACAAAAACTCTTTGATGGCACCACTTAAAATACCCACAAAGCCGTAGTGACTATCTTTGGATTGATCAAAAGGTTGGCTAGGCTCATGAGGAGCAGAGAGAGGCAAGGAGAGGCTGAATTGGGAGAGCTGTGAGAAGCAGATAATAAAGACTTATCCTGACTTGGGCTAACACCCAGTGTTCTGGGGCCTAGCTATGAGAAGAAGCCAGAAGACATACTCAACAAACTGTATCTACCCAGAGATTTCAAGATTTACATATGAGAAGAAAAATATAAGTGGCAAAAAGAAAAAAAGGTAGGGCAGAAAAAAATACAAATGGTAAATGTAATATTTCTTGCTCTGAGTGTTCAAGAAAATGCTGCTGGAACTCCACCCATGGTGGGCTAAAGGGGACTTTTGTGACCCTCTCCTCTTACAGAGCCAGTAGCCCTGACTTTCTGCTAGTTGGTGCCCAGGCTTTCTGCAGCCCAAAACAGAAAAAGAGGCGCAGTACTGAAAACTGCAAAGAACAGATTTAAATAGCTTCCCTTTGGGAAGGCAACGGGGGTGGAAGCGATGCCACATAGGAG